CTTTTATTCCATCATTTCTGGACTGTTGATGGTTTAACAAACACACACACTCCAGCACTCAATAATTAAGGATCTCATTAAGGATTTTCAATTTCCTTTCAATCTCGGAATGAAATTTTAAAATCATTGACAGACTAGGAGACACTTCCAGACTAGGAGACACCTCCACCATGATGTTTTTTCCTTTCAGTGTTTTTGTCTGATGACATTACTTACTTTAAATTACTGAAGAACCATAACTACAGTATGGTAAGGATGCATTGAACTGAGACTCTGTTTTCCTCTTCCTTCATGTAACTTCCCAGCATCATTTCTGTTATCTTCCTGTTTGGCAGTTCCCCTCAAAAAGATCTGTAGCTAGTATTGATCACAAAACTATTTCTAATCCTTTCAGTGTTTGTTTTTTGGGATCTTTCCAGAACATTCTGAATGTGTAGTATGTAACCAACTATCCAATCAACCCATTCAAAAAACTCTAAAGTCAGTTCCTTGATTTGACAGGTCTTTCAGGCAGTTTCTTTTGGGTGGACATCCTTGACACTTTCCAACTCCTGTCATTCAATTCTCCCATTCCATCAATTTTTTTTTCTATACCAGAGAATTTCAGAAAATTATTTTAGATTAATGAAAGTTTTGTTACACTAAACTTTCTTAGGTCAAGAATTCTTAAAGCATTAATCATATGGGCAACAAACTAGGAATTCAAAATTTTTTCACTATACAGTAAAGCTGATTATCTGAAAAATTGATTAACAAAAGTCAACTTCAGAAAGTACTACTGGCACTGGTAGAGTATACATTGCCCATTACTGCTATTCTTGAGGTCAGCATTAACCTTCTGCACAGTATTTCCTTCAATTGTTAGAGAAAGTATCAAACAGAGCTAGTGGAGTTATCAGGAAATGATTATCTTTATAAAGTTGAGTTTTCAGAGACACTGCATTAACCTGTTTAAAAGACTTGAAATTATTCCTTTTGAAGCATATACAGAGAGTTTAAAGAAGTCCTTGTGGTGCTTTTCAAGGTTTAGGGTTCATTTCATTTTGTTTCCAGTGGGAGACCACAGACCTTGAGTCTGAATCACTCTCAATCTTTAGATATCCCCTCCTTCAGAAGGGTTCGATCCTTCAGTCCTGTCTCTTTATTTTGTCACATATCCCTGCCACACTTGTAGAGGTGATGGAATTCACTCTCTAGGAGGTGATAAACAAATGGACAGATAGTATGATAGAGCAGATTACATTGGTCAACATCATCGCACAAAGAAGCAGACATTATCTTCTCTGAGTACAACCAACAAGGCAGGCAAGCTACACCAGCCCATCACACAGCAAGAGATGTATGTGTTGTCAGCAGGAAAGTATAGAAACAGCTAGTATAGAGACAGTTTAACAAATACAGTATTGACAGGACATTGAATATCAGAGTGTCGCTGTGGCCGAGAACGGTCGGCGACGGGTAAGAAGAGGATAAATTATCCCTCGGACGAGACATTTTCCTTACAATACCGAGGATTAGACCATTCTAATTTTAACGAATATTGACCGGACATTAAATATCAGAGTGTCGTCTGCCGTTCTCGGCCACAGCGACACTCTGATATTCAATGTCCAGCTGTTACACTTAAAAAAGGAGAATTGTTTGTAGTTGCTGTCCAAATATCAGCGGTTAAAGAAAGTTTCTGTTAAACACAGAAACACTTCAGCCTTTTAAACAATGTTGAAGTTCCCATGCGTCAACAATTAAGTGTTGAGATTTATTTTAGAAACTTTCCCAAACAAAGGAAGAGATTGTTGATTTTGCGAGGATATTCGATCGTCTCTTGTTTACCTGATCCGAGGTAGATGGAAATATCAGGTGGAGAAAAATAGGTTTTTTCCACATTATAATTAACTGAATAATTAACTCCAGGATCTCACACTATTAATGCAATAAATTATTAACACTAATCGGTAATCGGCCATTTTGCTTATCGGTGCATCCTTAATATTGATTTATTTATTGAAAAAGTTATGAATTTTTCAAAAAAAAATTTTTTTGTAATTTTTGAAAAGAAGATTGATTTTTGTGATTTTATATAAAACTAGCAGACCCCGCCACGCCTTGTTGTGGCTCAAAACGTATCTATTATAAATGTATAACACTTCCCCCGTGGGGGGGAATTTTCGAAAAATTTCTTTTTAGTGTACATTCTCTTGACGTACCCTATTAAAACACAATCAAAAACGCAAAAACCCGCATCTAAAATAGTATAATAGAAGCCAAGTTCTTCACAGTAAGCCTTAATCCTGTCTCTCTCCCGAGGGAAATATCGAAAAATCCCTTCTTAGTGTACATTCTGTTGACGTACTCTATTAAAACGCAATTAAAAACGCGAAAAACCGCATGTAAAATAGTATAAATAGAAGCAGAGTTCTTTATGGTAAGCCTTCCCCGTAAGGCTTACCGTAAAGAACTGTCCAACTCCCATGTTTAACGAAATAATATACAGCCTATGTCCTTCAGCGTAAGCCTTCATAGGCTTACCCTGAAGTTCCATTCTAAATATTGGTGAAAGAATTTTTTAAATCGGATAAGTAGTTTCGGAGATTACCTGCTGCATACAAACTTACATACATACAAACATTACCTCTTTATAATATTAGTATAGATATGCATTAAAACTTGTAAATATTTCTTTATTATTCTTGACATATTTTATCTCAATTTTCAAATTGCCATAGGTCCAAATCATAAGTTTATTAAAAAATACTTTAATAGAGCTTTTTAAGATTTATTTATTGCCTTAAAATTTACAGATTTAACGCCATTGAAAATTAGTGAATCCAAATCAAAATGTACTATAATCAATAATGATTAAAATGTCTGCAAAATTAATACTATTTTATATACATTTTATCTGTAAATTTGACATATTCATTTTTCTCTCCTTTAATAACAGTCATAACTGCTCCTGGTTTTCCTTCTTCGATGAGCTGAATAATTGCTTCTGCCACTTCACTTGGTCTGAAAATTAATTATATCATTATTAATTAGAATAAGGACTTAAAATTTTCTGAGTATTTGTGAATTTCAAAGAATTCTACTCTTAACTTAATAATAAAAACTGACATTGAAATTTTGGAAGTGTTTCCTTATTCGAGAAGCTTGCAGCTTCTTAAATGAAATCTTTACATATGCATAATTTTTATGTAGAATGCAGAATGTAAAGTGAAGGAGTGTTAAATTAATTGAATTGAAATAATGTGACTTTCGGTGCAAACTAGAAATTCCTAAATAGTTAATCGGACCTCCTGCCCCTACGATTTACACATCTGCTCTCGCAGTTCATCTACCTAACTCCGTTCACAAGAGTAAGCAAAAACAGAGAACAATGGAAAGTTATAGATCTACAATTTTTATCAAATTGCAGCTCAATGATTTTACTTTATATCAGGGGTGGCCAACACGAGGCCCGCGGGCCGCATGCGGCCCGTCGGGAGTCATGTTGCGGCCCGCGGAGCTAGGTCAAATGAACGTAAATGTTAACTTTATTGTACATATCACCAAAAGAACATTACGTCATGAGTTATTCATATCATGTATTTTTAAATTATAGCTAAGAGAAATTTGAAATATCTCTCATTTTTGGAAAAATTCATAAATTTTTATCTATTTCAAATATCCCGCTATATATGTTCTGCTATATATGTTCTTTGGTCTTTGGCGTTTTCGGGAAGCTTGAAATGCTATCGGGTTCATACTCATAACTACTTTCAGTCCAGCTTGACAAAGTTCCGTGTTATTCTGTAGTTTCGTGTTATTATCGCTAATGCATCTGGAGAGATTTTGCAATCGACGTTAAAATACATATTTAACATATTTATAATTACAGGTACAGTTCAAACTACTTTAACCAAGTAGTCTGTCTACCATATCCATTCTATAAGTAAGTAAACCCTAAAACGTTGGAGAAATTCCATCAAGTTGGTTTGGAAAGAGTTCTATGAAACGTATTTGGACAAGAATAAATATCCTGCGTTTTACAAACATGCTCTGTCGATGGTTTCGCTATTTGGTAACACTTATGCGTGTGAACAACTTTTTAGTCGCATGAAGTACATCAAATCACAATTGAGATCACGAATTACTGATGTTCATTTGAAAAACTGTTTGC